ATAATGCACAATCTGGGTTTTTATGGCACAAACGATTAGGTGACATCTCTAAAAATAGAGTTGAACGTCTTGTGTCCGATGGAACACTTAATCCCATTGATTTTTCTGATTTCAATACTTGTATTGAGTGCATTAAAGGGAAACAAACCAAAAATAAGAAAAAAGGTGCATATAGAGCTACAGATGTCTTAGAATTAATACACACGGATATTTGTGGGCCATTTCCTACTCCTTCATGGAATGGTCAACAATATTTTGTGTCATTCATAGACGATTACTCTAGATATGCATACTTATTTCTTATACATGAAAAATCTCAAGTCTTGGACGTGTTTAAATCTTACAAAGCGGAAGTTGAGAATCAACTCAACAAACGCATAAAGAAAGCCAAATCCGACCGTGGTGGTGAATACTATGGGAGGTATGACGGCTCAGGTGAACAACGTCCAGGGCCTTTTGCCAAATTTCTAGAGGAATATGGGATTGTCCCTCAATACACCATGCCGGGTTCACCTAGCATGAATGGTGTAGCCGAGAGACGTAATAGAACCCTTAAAGAAATGGTAAGAAGTATGATTTCTCATTCTATCTTACCGGAATCCCTCTGGGGTGAGGCATTAAAGACCACAGCTTACATTCTTAATCGAGTTCCAACTAAAGCAACTACTAAAACACCTTATGAGCTTTGGACGGGTAAAAAACCTAGTTTAAAGCATTTTCATATTTGGGGTTGTCCAGCTGAGGCAAAGCCGTATAGGCCACATGAAAAGAAACTGGAACCCAAAACAGTTAGTAGTTACTTTATTGGTTACTCGGAGCGATCTAGGGGATATAAATTTTATAATCCCAAGGATAAAAATATTTTTGAGACGGGAACTGCCATATTTTTCGAGGATGTTGAGTTTGGGGGGAAGAATAAAGTTAGGGATATTGTCTTTGAGGAAGAATTGATTTCAATACCTGAACCAATTCATACGGATGTTTCTTTTGAAACTAATGAGGAAACTCAACAAGGCATTATTTCATCATCTCCTTTCCAAACTGAAGAAATTGTTCAAAATGAACAAACTCAACTTCCTCTAGAGCAAGTGCAACAAGAAAATGTGTCATTGCGGCGATCCACTAGAGAGAGGAGATACGCAATTCCGGATGATTATGTTGTATATCTCCAAGAACATGTGTCAAGCATGGATACAGAGAACGATGTCCTTGTGTTTATTCAAGAACATGAGGAAGAAAGTGGTGTTATGGAAGATGATCCAATCAACTTCCGTCAAGCCATGAAAAGTTCAAATTCTCAAAAGTGGATTGTGGCAATGAATGAGGAGTATAAATCTATGCAAGACAATAAAGTTTGGGAACTCGTCCCATTACCCGAAGGTTGTAAACCCATTGGTTGTAAATGGATATTTAAAACCAAAAGGGATTCAAAGGGTAATGTGGAGAGATATAAAGCTCGTCTTGTAGCTAAAGGTTATACTAAAAAAGAAGGAATTGATTATAAAGAGACCTTTTCTCCGGTTTCATCAAAGGACTCTTTTAGAATCATTATGGCTTTAGTTGCACATTTTAATTTAGAGCTTCATCAGATGGATGTTAAGACGGCGTTTCTCAATGGTGACATTGATGAAACTATTTATATGGTGCAACCAGAAAATTTTGTGATTGGAGATCCAAAACAAATGGTTTGCAAATTAACAAAATCCATCCATGGGCTAAAACAGGCTTCTCGTCAATGGTATCACAAATTTCATCAAGTCATTTTATCCTTCGGTTTTAAGATGAATGATGTAGATGATTGTGTATATCATAAGTTCAGTGGGAGTAAAATATTTTTCCTGGTCTTATATGTTGATGACATTCTTCTTGCCACTAATGACATAGGCATGTTGCATGAAACCAAGAGATTTCTATCAAAACATTTTGAAATGAAAGATCTTGGTGAAGCCTCCTTTGTATTAGGAATTGAAATCCTTCGTGAGAGATCACAAGGAATCTTAAGGTTATCACAAAGGAACTATGTCGATAAGGTCCTTAAAAGATTTGGCATGGAAGATTGTAGACCGTGTGATATCCCTATCTCTAAAGGAGACAAGTTTAGTCTCGATCAGTGCCCTAAAACAAATTTGGAAATTCAAGAAATGAAAAAGATTCCCTACGCATCTGTTGTAGGAAGTCTTATGTATGCCCAAGTTTGTACGCGTCCGGATATTGCGTATATTGTTGGGATGCTAGGCAGATATCTCAGTAATCTAGGAATGGCTCATTGGGTGGCGGCCAAAAGAGTTATGAGATACTTAAAGAGGACAAGAGACTATATGCTTACATATAGAAAATCAGATCATTTGGAGGTCGTTGGATACTCCGACTCTGATTTTGCCGGTTGCAAAGACACTAGTAGATCTACTTCAGGCTATGTTTATCTACTAGCGTGTGGTGCTGTATCTTGGAAAAGTGTTAAGCAAGATATGATAGCTACCTCAACTATGGAGGCAGAGTTGTTGGCCTGTTTTGAAGCTTCAAACCATGGAATATGGATGCGCAATTTCATTGATGGGCTGAAAATATTACATGATGTTTCAAAGCCTATCAAGATATTTTGTGACAACAATTCTACGGTGCTTTACTCTAACAACAACAAGAGCTCGAGCAAGACAAAACACATTGAAGTGAAATATCGAGCTATTAAAGAAAGGGTTCAGAATAAAAGAGTCGTTATTGAACATATAAGTACAAACTCCATGTTAGCGGATCCTTTAACCAAGGGTCTCCCGCCAAAAGTTTTTCATGAGCATACTGCTCACTTGGGAGTCATTGATTTTAAGGAACCTCAAGTTTAGTGGGAGTTTATAAGTTATGTTCTATTGCTTTATGAATTTATCTTCTGATCAGAATAAAGTTTGACATTTGGTGTATTCTGAACAATTAAGATATTAAAGTTTAAAGTTTATTAAAGAAGGGTCAGTTGAAAATTTACATGTACATGCCACATTTCATGTAATTTTCATGCTACACATTTCATGATTGATCTATGTCATTATGTAATATTGATACTAGTGATCATTGGTGGTATAGTTATGTTTAACATAACAAAATGCTGCAATGGTTCTATATTAGTATTACTGATGGACCAGATTGTTTAAGGATGTTATTTTATATGATGGTATTTTTGAGCTCATAAAGATAACACATTTTGTTAAGAATTACATATAAGGCCCAGTGGGAGATTGTTGGAAAACAATAAAAGGGGCCTAATATGTAATTAATTAAAATGTGTTTACCATCAAATAAATAATACAGTGGCTATTCATGAAATAATAAAAGTGTAGATACCAGGATAATATATTTCTTTTGGTGACGGGTCAAATTAAATATATTACACTAAAGTGATACAACGGTTATGACCCCCGGTGCGTGTAAACTAAGAGATAACAGTAAAGATATTGTAACGGAAAATGGCCTAATAAATTATTCTAAATAATATCATTATTGTAATAATAATAAAGGAGTTATTAGAATACTAAGGGCCAACCGTTACAATATTCCACTAGTCCTATATATATCCCATCAATAGGTAGGACTAAAAAAAATCAACATCTCATACGGTACATAGCACTGGAAGGTTAGGCCGATCAATCGTGTTGGATTCCGGGTCTTCTTAAAGTGTTAATGCAAATGAATTCTCAAGGTATTGTTCTAATCTTAGTTCATACATATTTGATTTCATGGATTTATATGGATTTAGCTATTATATATTTATATATATATCGCATACGGAGTTTTGTTGATATATATATGAATATCCAACATGATAATCCAGTATCAGTCATCTATCTGAATCATAACAACGAAAAGCGTCTAATGTTCGTGGATGAAATTAACAAGTATTGTGACGGAACGTTGAAGATCATCCAGGAGCAGCTCCGATCAAAGAAAAAAGAACTTGGACAGAAATCGACTGAAGCCACTGAAGGAGACCAGAAGGAACCACACAGAATTGACAATATCCTACAGGCCATCGAAAAGCAACTTGATAGAAGAAATTCACTCAGAAACTATGAGCACGCACTTAATCTCAGAAAGAATTATTATAAAGCTCAAAAGTGAAGAGAAGAAGAAGCAAGACGGCACTTGATCACAAAGGGGGAGATTGTTGAGGAAAAATATTAATTGTGATCAAGCTTGTCTGATGTCTTGATTATTTATCTAGAATAGATTAACGTTTTAATGTATTTATGATGAAATAAATCCAACTAAGGGTTTAAGGCCCAAAAAGGCCTAGGCCCAGAATTCTAGGTTACCATTCTCGGTACCTGTACCTGCGCCTATAAATACGCGTACTTGTGGTACAGGACCGAGAACAATCATCAATACAGTACTATTTTCATACTTCTCGATAGTATAGCGTAAGGCTCTATTGCTCTCAGATTAATCATATCATTATCTAGACCTTACCTATATTGTCATAGATCGTATTCTGCTGTTCAATACATCCTTATTTTGGGACCAACATAACCGTAGAGAACATGTCATTTACCCCTTTTGCCGATCGCGACTGAAGGTAGCGGACGGCCTGTCTTTCGTGTGTAGCCGATAGATATGCGCTACGCTTAATTGAGCAGGTGGACGGAGGGACACATCCTCAGGTTAACGGGATGAGGATGTTAACAAAAGGGTATATTTATTGTGGACAATGCTAAAAGCGTAATGTACAACTACTTTATGCTTTGAATGTACCACCAACAAATTTTTATTCCTAAAAGGGCTGTAACCCTCGTTCACGTTTATAATTTTGTGTAAAGAAATTTCATTCTTTTTTTATGAAATTTTCCATTATATTTATATACTTTAATTGTGAACAATCCCATAGGTCGCTGGATCGAGACCAGCGGGCCGGACAAAAAAAAAACAAAAAAAAAACAAAAAAAAAGACCAAAAAAAACCAAAAAAAAAAAAAAATCCATGACTCTTTGTTTTCCATCCGAGATTACTGTGTGCCTTTCACCCCTTCCAATAACCAAACGGTGTTTCTCCCGGGCATTCTACACTATTCATTCATTTTCAAACCAGTTGATATTTTCTTCCACGGCATGGCGATCTCGCCAATGGTTTCCAGTAAAAAACGCTCATCAAACTCTCCTTCTTCCAAGGTTATACATATATACCCCGGAGTATAATATATTCTCCCTTTACCTTTTTCTCATCGAACTTGATGGAAGGTCAATTTTAAATTTCTATATTTTTGCTTCGTGTAAAAAAGCAGATATTTCAATACCCACGTTTTTTCGTTTAGTAGCTGGTCATGTTGTTTATTTAACGTTGTTAATGTTTAAGGACAGAATAGTTGGGGCCTAAATCCATTTGTTCTGTTTTCATTTTTGGCATGCTAGCAGCTTGAGAAGATGAAGGTCAATAAGAAGCAGCTCAAGGGGTCATCTTCTTCCAAGAAAAACAAAGGGGCAAAGGATAAGGTAGTAAATAAACTGCTACTCCATTCTTTCCAAGTCAAAGTTCCTAGACACCATTCATGGAGTTCCCTTAACTCTTTATTAATCTCATCTTTTACTAGCTAATTCTTTATCATATTCGGATCCTGCTTGTTAGGCTCAACAGAAGTTTAAAGTTTTATATACTTTCTAAACATAAAAAGGTAGCCGGATACATTTTTTACTTTTATTCTACTTTCCTGCTAACCTTAGACCAATAAAACCATTTTATGGCCATTTTTTCAATAATATCAATACTGATAATTACTAAAGTTTCTCAAACATCATTTGCAAAGAGCCAAAGATCCTTTAGGAATTGAACATACATTTCAAAGATGATTTTATGCTCAGCAATAAAATGTTTTAAATGTTCTTGTAAGCTCTCCCTCTCATTTGACCATTTGGATCTATGCCGCTCCCAAGACATGATTCTGAGGTTCCCTTCAGACTTTCTAAATAAGTAATTATTAATATTTGCTTGAATAAGAAGAGTTGAATGCGAGTCGTGGTGCACCGGTTATGTACGGTGTTGCAGTGTGACTGAGAATTCAGGGGTTCAAGCCTAGAGAGCAGTCTTTTGTGAAAATGACTAGGGAAAACTTGCTCATATACACCCTTGTGGTGGACCCTTATCCAGACCATTGCCTTGGGGGTGTCAAGCAATGTGCACCAGGCTGCCCTTTAGTTAAATAAGAAGAGCTAACTATATTATCAGCCAAGTAATCAGTATATTTCCCCATGAAATGTTTGTAGGGTTGTTTGGCGCTAATCAGGAAGAAGGCTAAAGGCGGAGGTGTAAAGATGGAGTATTCCTTAGTTGACAAGAATACGTTGGCGATGAGGAGAGCACAAAAGATTCAAGCACAGCTTGCACCTGGATTTCCTAGTCTAGTCAAGTTCATGCTGCGTTCTCATGTTACTGGAGGATATTGGCTGGTAAGAAATATTTTTCAGTATGGCATCAAGTCAAGAGCAATTTAAGCATTTTTGTTGGTGTGTGGAATTGTGAGAGTGTGGTTTGTCAAATGATGAATGTGATAGGGCTTGCCAAAATCATTCTGTACTCATTTGCCAAAGCATGATGCTACTATTATTTTGGTGGATGGGGATGACAAAGAATGGGAGATTAAGTACCTCGTTGAAAAGTCAGGCTTCAGCGGTGGATGGAGAGGCTTCTCCATTGCCCACAATTTGATTCCCGGGGATGTCTTAATTTATCAACTTGTAGAGTCTTGCAAGTTTCAGGTCACCCCTCCCCCTCTTTGTATTTTTTACCTATGTATTGTTATATCAAAGTCTCAAAACTTATTGCCATAAATTTGTGATGAGTGAATCCCTCTTGATCCAGACATTTAGTTTTTGTATTACTCCGTCTACCTGTTTCAGGTATACATTGTCAGGGAAAATGACTCAACTGACGATGACTTCGCTGCCATTAGTCTTTTGAATCTAAGACATCAACCACTTGCAACAGGTACATCTCTTCCATTTAAAGTGACTTTACCTATACTCTCTTCATCCCCCAAATTGTTTTTCCTCCTTTTGGATTCTGTCTCAATATATTTATCCAGTACTCCCTCCATCCCTTAAAACTTTGCCAACTTTCCTTTTTTGGTTGTTCCAATAACTTTGCCACTTTCTATTTTAAGTAAACAATTTGTGATTCCAGTTAATTCTCTCTCCTCTGCACAAATCTCAACCACACAGTTTTTACTTTATTAATCTACGTGCCGGTCAAACTTGGCAAAATTTTAAGGGACGGAGGTAGTAGCATATTTGGTTACACTTGGGCAGCTAAAAAACATTCATACTGTACAATTTCAATAACATCTCTGGCTAACTTTCTCCAACCATTTTTATTGCACCTTTTGTTAGGTTATAGCTAATGCATTTCCAGATTCCATGCTAATATTGTCTTTCTAGATCAATTCCCTTAAAAGATGTAACATTGCAGTGCTATGAACAGAACTGTGACAATATAGCAACTTCCTCCTTTCAATGTGTCTTTCTTATTAGTAAAAAGATGCCATTCACACTCACCATCAACCTAGTTGTCATTTTTCAAACTCCGGCTTTTCACAAAATGCTGGGTCCCACATACAATTCATATTTACTTAAAGAACAGTGTGCAAGTACAACTAATTTGTACAAGTATTTTTGTTCAATGAGACAAGACTTTGTTAGTATGATCTTATGCCCATGTGAACAAAAATATTGCTTGTGTAGTTGTGAAGATTTCTCTGCGTTACTTTTTGTACTCACAGACATAAAATGATACTGCCCAGAAGTCTTGTTATGTGAATAAAAAACATGTACAAATGTATCATAAGCCAGCATGACGTCCAGATAATAAGAACTTGAACTTTTTTATATTTCTTTTTTCCTGAAAAGCAGTTCCAATAAACAGACTAATCACTTCATAGAACAAAAACAGGCTAAAAGGATAACGCCCTGAACATGGCAGTTAGCTAAATCCTTCCATACACATAAGACTCAGCGATATGATGATTAAAAGAGACTTGAACTTTTTTGTGCATGATTGATATTCCAGAAAAACAGCAGTCATTTCTATGTGTTTGTATCATTAACAACCATGACGTCCAGATAATAGAACATGAACATTTTTATACTTTTTCTTTCCCTGAAAAGCAGTTCCATTAAACACAGACTAATCACTTCATAGAACAAAAACAGGCTAAAAGGATAATGCCCTGAACATGGCAGTTAGCTAACTGACATAAGACACAGCAATATGATGATTAAAAGAGACTTGAACTTTTTTATACATGATTGGTATTACAGAAAAGCAGCAGCCATTTCCGGAACTGACAAGGCAAGGCGAGACCAAAGTGAATCAGGAGTCATCAATGTCAGAACATGGCCCTACACCATCACATGTATCTGCTAACGCCTCCGATGAAGATGAAGATGAAGGTCTCAGATTGGCAGACTCTGCTCCCGACTTTTCTCAGGCAAAAGATTTCAAGAGCTTCTGCATCTTTGCCAATGGTTTGATAATTGATTCAGAGATCCCACGAGACCTGAGGGCCAAGTACTATCAGCTCTGCCGAACCCAAAATTCATATCTTCATCAACACCTCATAGAAGGCCTCAACTATAAGCTCATTGCTGGCATCATCTCAGAGACCGTAAACATAGCAGATGCTATTAGAGCTTCCAAGCTCACGGCTCCTGGCTGCCAGCATTTGGAAGCATGGGACACTACCCTCAAAGGGTTTGAGTGTTTAGGCATGGGAGTCCAGTTCTTGCGCGAGAGACTACAAAAGCTCATTAGTTTATCATATGAGTCGTCAGAGAATGCCGCGTCGAAGAGAAGAGAACGACGCACTGTCTTAAAAGATGAGCTGAAGGATCTCAGAAGCAAGATGTCAAAGATGAAAGAGGCAATGCAGAGTTTGGATGATGAGATAGAGCTGTACAGCCAGAAAGATAGGGTAGAGACGATGTTCAGAGATGTGGCCACTGCTCCATGGTGATTCTCTGTCTCTGTGTGATGTCTTTCTTGGTAGTGTATATTTTTGGTTAGGAATGGCTTCTCATTTTGACCCCTCCCTTGCAGTATTAGATAGCTGATAGTTGCTGGGAAGCTTGTGTACTATTATGTGTACCCATGTATCATATTAGTTTTTGTGTATACTTGATGTGGTATATTTTTGTGTTGGAAAAAACACTCCGGACTTTCCCGCTTCGTGAAGTTAAGATAGGCACTTAGGAAATAAGGTAGCAATGACAACACAGGATTTAAATTCTTTAATATGGAGATTCTTCAACTATACAAAAGAATAGTAGGGTATACAAGGATGTTCCAAAATTGTCTCACTCAATGGTGGCTCACTCAAGCTTGAGGATGATGTCTTCCCAACTATCTCTCTTCTCTCTCAAAGAGGCTCTCTAACTTTCTCATTTTAGAAGTGGATTCACTCTTGGCTAGGATGGTTATGAATGGAGGCCTCTACTCCTATTTATACTACTCCACCTTCACACTGAATGGTGGGGATGATTTCTATCTAAGGATGGAGATTGATTTTCTAGAATGCTCCACACACTCTAGGAGTCTCTATACTCTTCCACTCTCTTCCATATCCTTCCATACTCTTCCATAAGCTTCCAGAAGGTTCCACACATCTCTAGAATATTCTAGAGGATTCCACACTATTCCACATACTTCTAGAGAGTTCTAGACTTCTCTAGGATTCTCCAGAACTTTCTAGAAAATTCTATACTTCTCCAGAAAGCTCTAGAATTTTCTAGAACCTCTCCAATTAAGGAGGGATCCCAACATTTTGTATATCCTATCGATTGCTTTCGAGTTAGGTGGTGTGGGTATTCAATCAGAAACTTTGGAGAGGGATGGTTTTTATGGTGATTCATGTGATTCATTTTCGGGGGATGAATTTCTTGGTCATGTATCTGAAAATGAGAAGAGGGTGCCTATCTCAAAAGTGGGGGATCTATGAGACTTTGAGACTAATCAAGATATTTGTTACAAAGCCTTACTCATCACACATGAAAATTGTTTGCCTACGCAGAATTTGAATACTCAAAGAATAATGTACAAGAAAAAAAATCAGAGATCACATTTATGAGGACCAAATCTCAAACACGAGCGGAGTTGTGAAAATCGAATCAAGGGCTTAGAGATCTCCTGGGCGGGTTTTACTTGTGTTGAATTGGGTTGGGCCTTAAGTTTATTTGTTTTTGCTTGCTTGCTTTTAGTTCATTCTTTTCCCTTCCTCGTCTTTGTACTTTCTTTTGCTTATTATTAATGAAATCTCTTTTCCATTTAAAAAAAATGAAAGAAAGAAACTCATGGTCTAAAAACCACCCTCTAGGAAATCAACTTGTCACCTCAAGTGTGAAAGTATTTTACTTAATCTTAATGCATCTATCATTTGTAGTAAGAAAACTGGTCTGGGAACAACTTGTTGAAAAAATGTGTTAAAATTGCATTAAATGGTAATTTTGGGGCAATTGTTTTGAGTGGAGTCCACTTTCGATTTGGGTCGGGTCAAAGTGGTTTCAGATTGTCCTTGTTAAGGGCTACAATTCGACATGTGGTACGCTCAAAACGGATAACGAGTGAATGTGAAATTGATTCTCGAAGTTTACCCGTTAGAATGAGAAAACTGGGAAAAATGATGGGTTTCTAGTGTGTTATTTCCCACACCGGAAAACTCAAGGGATTTGCAACCCTTTATAAAGGAACTCCCCCCTTAAGGAGTTAAGATTCCTTAGGGTAAAGGCTCTCTCCACGCGCGCGGGGGGGGGGGGGGGGGGGTGCAAATCAGAGAAGAAAAACCGCGACTTGCGAGCGCGGGCAACCTGCGGACACGAATGTCGTCCAAAAATCTATCTCTCCAGAGATACGGTTTAATTTTTGTTTTCTTCCCGAAACGTTTATTTTTCCCCAGTGACATGAGTGCCTAGCGGCAGAAATGCTCCGGACAGAAGGCCTCGACCAGAACCCCTCGTAGGGGTGTTCTGTTGGTTGGCTTCGGACAGAACCCCTCGTAGGGGTGTTCTGTTGGCTGGCTTCGGACAGAACACCTCGTAGGGTGTTCTGTTGAGGGGTCTTCTGATCGCACAGCTGGACGTTCTGAACCGTTACAACAATAAATGCCCAACGTTCTTATCTTTTAATGCAGCGTTAAATGGATAGTTCATGGACGAATCAATGCCCAATGGACTGGTCATTGATGTCCAACGTTCAGGTACATTAATTCACCATTTATATACAACAAATCCTCCTATATAATGGCTGGCAGGTGGTTTGCAACAACACACGTTGATACACACGTTCATACACATTCCTCACGTATTTCTGAGCTCTAAAACACCTCCAGCATTCCGAAAATTTCCTAAGTGTTCATACTGTGTTCTCGTTCGCTGGAACTCTTGTTTGTGTGCTCAAACATTAGTTCGAAGTCATCGTATCATGGGAAACGATTGTTGCAACGCTCCTAGCACCGTGGGAGGCAACAAATACGTTTTAAGGACATCATGCGTAGCACAAGCTTTGACTAATTTCTGCTCCATCTTATTTCTGTTTTCTTTCGTCATTTTAATTAATTTATTTTAATTAATTTTCTTTATTTTCCGAAACACACCCAACAATCTTAAAACGTATTTGGTTGCTAAGTTTGTATCACATGGATACAATCTTAAAAACGTTGCTTGTCGCTTCTGTGAACAAACTTAAATCTTTTTCTTGTGTTTTCGGGAAAACGTTAAGAAACGAAAATGGCTTCTCAAGAAAACCAGAATGTTAGTGGGCAGAATGTGCCGAACGACACTCACTCTGAAAGCGGAGCTCTGGTGAACAATAGTTCACAACGCGGTGCATCTGCTCTGGGCAACCAAGGGGCAATTCGTATGATTACCGTGCCAAGCAACTCTGTGGAGAAACCTGAAAATTTTAATGGGTTAAACTTCAAGAGGTGGCAGCAAAAGATGCTCTTTTACCTCACTACTCTCGGTCTTGCGAGGTTCTTGACCGAGGACGCTCCGGTTGTAACTGGGAGTGAGGTGGATGTGCAATCTCTCAGCGCGGTGGAGGCTTGGAAGCATTCTGACTTCCTATGTCGAAACTATGTGTTGAACGGGCTGCATGATGCTTTGTACGACGTATATAGCAAATTAGCTACGGCTAAGGAGCTATGGAATGCTTTGGACCACAAATATAAAAGCGAGGATGCCGGAGCAAAGAAATTTGTTGTTGGTCGATTCCTTGATTTTAAAATGGTGGATTCGAAGACGGTCTTGAGTCAAGTTGAGGAGATGCAAATGATCTCCAACGAAATTCGAGATGAAGGAGTGACAGTTAGCGAGTCTTTCCAAGTGGCGTCAATTATACATTTGTTGCCGCCGGCTTGGAAGGATTTCAAAAACTACCTTAAGCATAAGCAAAAGGAAATGAACTTGGAGCAACTCATCCTCCGTCTTCGGATTGAAGAGGATAACCGGAAGAATGATGGGAAACTCCCAATCGTTCATGGCCCAAGGCAAACGTGGTGGAGCATGCAAAAGACTCCAAAACCAAGAATAATGGGAAGAGGAAGCTCGGTCCCAAGGGAGGCATTTACAAGACGAAGTTCAACGGAAAATGCTTCAATTGCAACAAAAATGGACACAAGTCCTCGGATTGCAAGGCACCAAAGAGGTCGTCAACTTGGTGAAAGGTGGGCAAAAGGATGAAGACATCATCCTTGCGGCCGTGGTGACGGAAGTCAACCTCGTTGGATCCAATTCCAAGGAGTGGTTTGTGGACATCGGTGCTACCCGACATATTTGCTCAAACCGGGAGTTATTCACAACTTTTGAGCCATCAAATGATGAGAAGGTGTGGATGGGAAACTCGACTCATTCCGCGGTTGAAGGCGTGGGCAAGGTGGTCCTGAAGATGACTTCGGGAAAAGAGCTGACTCTTAACCAAGTGCTGTTCGATCCGGAGATACGCAAAAACCTGATCTCCGGTTCGTTGTTGAACAAGCATGGCTTCCGCATGGTCTTTGAGTCGGATAAATTAGTTTTGTCCAAATCGAGAATGTATGTGGGCAAAGGGTATGCATGTGACGGGCTGTTTAAGCTCAATGTAATGACTAATAATAATAATAATAATAATAATAATAATAATAATAATAATAATAATAATAATAATAATAATAATAATAATAATAATAATAATAATAATAATAATAATAATAATAATAATAATAATAATAATAATAATAATAATAATAATAATAATAATAATAATAATAATAATAATAATAATAATAATAATAATAATAATAATAATAATAATAATAATAATAATAATAATAATAATAATAATAATAATAATAATAATAATAATAATAATAATAATAATAATAATAATAATAATAATAATAATAATAATAATAATAATAATAATAATAATAATAATAATAATAATAATAATAATAATAATAATAATAATAATAATAATAATAATAATAATAATAATAATAATAATAATAATAATAATAATAATAATAATAATAATAATAATAATAATAATAATAATAATAATAATAATAATAATAATAATAATAATAATAATAATAATAATAATAATAATAATAATAATAATAATAATAATAATAATAATAATAATAATAATAATAATAATAATAATAATAATAATAATAATAATAATAATAATAATAATAATAATAATAATAATAATAATAATAATAATAATAATAATAATAATAATAATAATAATAATAATAATAATAATAATAATAATAATAATAATAATAATAATAATAATAATAATAATAATAATAATAATAATAATAATAATAATAATAATAATAATAATAATAATAATAATAATAATAATAATAATAATAATAATAATAATAATAATAATAATAATAAAATCCCTTCTACTTACTTGCTTGAGTCTTCCAATGTGTGGCATGGTAGACTAGGACATGTTAATTTTAATTATATACATAGATTAATTAACATGGAACACATTCCTAAATTCACAATTGATGTGAAGCACAAATGTGATATTTGTGTTGAGGCAAAACTAACGAAAACGTCTTTCAAATCGGTTAAAAGAAAAACGGAACCACTAGAATTAATTCATAGTGATGTTTGTGATTTTAAATCAATACAAACATGTGGCGGTGGCGGTAATAAATATTTTATT